CCCCAGTCCCACCAGCAGCTTGCCTGCACTGGTGGGTTCTTTGGACGGGATGTTTGTGTTCTCTCTGGGGAGCTGAGCTTCAGAAGGGAAACATTTGTGTTCCCACTGTGGTCCAGTGGTGCTACACAGCTTGCAGCTGTAGCGTGGCTCCTGCTTCCATCTCTGATGCTCCTCTGCCTTTCAGAGATGCAAATATAAAATTCATGAGGAAGTGATGGCTTGAATGCCATCATCTCTTTGGTCAGAAAAACAACGTACTTATTTTTGTATCAGAGCTGGGACCTCCTTAGTTCAGAGTTAATCTATTCTTAAATAAATTGGCTGCACTATCACAGGGAAGTGATTTGTCACCTGTCGCTTGCAGAATCTGAAGATTGATGCATGTGGTTTACTTCAGAGCTGTGAGCTTGGTGTTGTTTCTGTGAGTTGGGATCTCATCTTGTTTGACAGTACCTCGCGCACGAGGAAGCAGCTCTCTTCCCTGAGTCCCAGTTTGGCTTTGCAATCGTAACAATCAAGAGTACTCTTGCTATTAAAAAAAAATAGGGAGAAAATGGTTGTGAAATCAAATCAGCAGGGGATGTGGTGGCAGGAGCAGCTGAATATTAACTTTTCTGAGCAGTGATTGAGTCTGCCTCCCCCTGAGGGGGTATTATTAAAGCACAGCAGCATCCTTTTTCAACATGAAGCTTGGAGTTCTGGTGCTGACAGACAATACCAATGCAATGTGTTCCTGCTGGTGAAAACTAGCTAAAAAACCTTTCTCAAAGTCTTTATTCGTGTGCATCTTGTCAAAAAGAATCACATCAGAATATTGAAATCCAGGGCTGACATACATCGTTTTCAAAATGGGGTTGGAAGAAGGGATGTTTTGATGTCCTGCAAGGCCTTTGTTTCTTTGTGTAGCCAGTACAGCTTGCAAATCCTTCTGCGAAACTGGCTACGAGATGCAGTGTGATGCTTTCATTGTTTTGGGCAAAAGGGAGCTAGAATTATGTTTCCCTGATAACCTTTTTGCTCTAAAGCAGCAGCCTTTGCTGCTCAGGATTTAGCTATAGTACTATCTATAGCAATGTCTCCAGAAAAACTGTGGGGAAAGTAGGTTAATTAAACTGCTCGGTGTCCTTCATTTTAACAGCCTAAGAGATTTCCACCCTGCAGCTGTGTGGTCTGAGCACAGATGTTTCAGTTAGAAAGGAGACTGATCCCACGTGAGGGAGCTGAGACTCCTCTGTGTTGAGTCTCAGGATGGTTTGAGGAGGGAATTTCTATGGGGATTTTTCTGAGCTTACTCAAAGTTGCTTTGCAACTGTTAGGCAACCTAACATAACAAACAAAAATGCTCTTCGCAGGACTTGAAGTTGTGCTCTTGGAGTTGTATTCTCCGAAAGTCTGCAGAAAGAAGGAAAATTAATGAAAGGCAACTATTTCATGTTCATTATTCCTTTCTTACTGTACATGGTATCGTCAGCACTGTGCAGTGCTCCGCCAGAAGAATTTTGCTCTGATGCCAACAGATCACAAATTGGAAAGCTTGTTCCAGATTCAGGAAATGTCTGTTTTAATGTGAAATCTGAAGTGACAAAGGGAGAACTGAATTCTTATCTACAAGATGAAGCCAGTAAAGTCACTGATATTTTCTTTTTCCCCCTGTTGCTAGCATTTATCACTGGTTACAACTTCAGACTGGTTTTTGTCACTTAGTTGGATTCTCCACCTATTGCCACTCCTCTCCGGTTTTCTGAAAGCCAACCTGGCCATTTTATCCTTCTGAAATATGATCAACAGGGGAGGAAGGGGAAGGAAGTCTAAATCTGACTGGAAAGAGACTGGATCTCTGCAGGGAGGAAAGAGAGAAGATCA